TGAAAGAGTTTGCAATCTTATATTAAAAGTGACTGTTATTATCAGTACCTGATATCGTAGAATCAGCTTCCATATGAGACCAAGGGTTAAGGTTTGATTTCCATCAGCAATACCACTACTAGTAATACCAACCAGATCAATCTAAAAATATATACATTATAAAACATACTACTTCTACCATGCCTAGTTGCAATTGACTGCTTGATTTTAGGTTCATATATAACTTATTTACTACAGGGAGGTGTAATAAGTAATTTCCCGGGTAATAGGAGGTTGATAATTTCGAAGGCTAATAAGATGAATAAGTAGCCCAGGAAATTATTTATTAACCTCCTGCAGGCCTGCTTGAAAATAGACAACCTAGTGCTAAGTGTTGCTAGTAAACTAGTTGCTTATTTTTAGTACATGGTAGAAGTTGGTTATACAACTCTGTGTTGGTATCTATGGCCTTATCATATCTCAGGCCCTCGGTATGATAAATACCATAGATACCTCCACTTCGTTGTATAACCTTTACTAATATATTACAAGTATTCCACAACACATTTCTATGTGCTTGAGACAAACTAAAGCCATACAATGATTACACACTCAAATTCCAATGTAATTCTGAGAAGTGTTGCTCTTAATTACTTGCTACATGATATGATTGTGACATTATCTCTGACTCACTTTCTCTTTAGATTGTAGAAAGTCTATTACTGTTGTGATGTTGATCATGTGATGATTCCTTGTCTTCCCTTTCTCTCTAACCTAATACAAAAAGCCATTTTATTATGTAACGATGATATTCATTACTTTGAAGTTAAAAGTCATAATACAATACTAAAGTGCTTTGTAAGTGTACAAAACATGCCCAACAAATGAAAACCCATGGAACATACACACAAAAGCATGAAATTACATACACAATTGCTAGACTCCTCTATTGAGAACTACAAAGGGAGCCGGCAGAGGTGTCAGTGTTTAAAAAGGAATTAAATTTCATTTTTCTTGGCACTGATGCTTTGATGCAACGTGACAATTATTAGGTGTGAACATACTAGTTAGACAGTGGTAAATAAGGTAGTTGGAATCAATTATTGGTAAATATATTTTACTAGTTTTGTTCCAGTGAGTATCTCAATGAGGGTCATTAGTTTCGAGCCATCACGAAGATCATTGAACAGATCAGTTAGCTCTTCCTCTCCAGCCTAGAATGAGAGAAGAAGGGCAGGGAAAGAAAGAGAGGAGAGATAGAAGAAAGAGGTTGAGAGAGGTCTGCTTCTACCCTAATCAATCCTTCTCTTACTGCTTTGAAGTGAGCGTTGATCCATTTGGTGTAAGCAGTGGTTGTTACTCTGAGAGCAGACCGACCTATTGAGAACAATGTGAACTGGTGAGATCTACCATTTAAAAAAGGACTCGCTCATACCAGCTTGCGTCTCAAGAAGATTATCAGGACCATCCATTATTATCTAAGATAAACAGAGAGTAGTCTGACGGAGTGCTGTCACAAAAAAGATAAGAAAAAACTAAGAACCACCTCGTGATGTCACACTTCCTCTCATATCATCTCATGTGTTAAAACATTAATCATGA